AGTAGCCTGTCGGGGTCAGGTCCTTCTCACAGTCAGCTGAAGATTTTGTATACCAGCGTCTATCAATGCTTGTTTAACCCTGAGTAGTCTCTATAGGGGAGATAGGTCCTTGCTAATCAGGAGGTCCCAGAGCCCTCTTTCACTTCCCATGTCTTTACAGACCTTGTGTTAACAAGGGAAGAATCCCTGTTCATGCAGTGGTCATGTGTAGGAGGAGCAGATTTACTCCTCAGGGACCCCAGTCCATCCTATCTCCATAGGGGCACCTATTTTTTTATTTTTATTGAGTCTTTCAAATGTGTGTGAGAAAGGATCCCAAACTTCATGACTCTTCATGGGTCTGACAACAACTCCCCAAATTCCTTTTCCCCCATGTCCTCCCAACATCAGCCTGCAGTCCAGCGCATTACCAACTCTGAACCTCACACTGCATTTGTAATGGGAATAATGTTTGTCATTTTCCCCCAAGAGGATGCAGCTTTCTTTCCTGCGTCTCAGGATTGTACTTGGCAGGAATAAACCAGCTGACACGACATCGTTTAACATACTAAGGACATCCCTTTCCTCTTGCCTTCCTCTGTACAGACTCCTTATCCCAAAGCCATTGGGTTCAGACTCCTCCGGAATCATTACAGGGTGTGTGTCTGTGTCTGTAGTCCCTTCTGTGTCTTTTCCCAACCCTGCATTTCAGGCTGGCAGCAGATGCCCACAGGGAGCATTTCTCTTGGAGAAGTGACAGGCGCTGGCCTGGCAGCCTTTGATCATATCTTCCTGTGGGAGTGTCCAGGAAGTGCCAGGAAGTGTGCATTTTCCAAGGGAACAGCTTGTTTCCCTGGGACTGAAAATAATCTGTTGACCGTTATTGACAGTAAGATTTTCCTCCTAATTCCAGTTCCTGTTTGTTGGAAATATATTGAATTGAATGTTGATGTCCATGAAAAAGTCCAAAACTTAGTCTCTCCTCTGGAATCTGTTAGACTTGTAAAATTCGGGTTGTTACCATCATGGACAAAGAGCCATGCCTGATGGGATACAAGGAACTATCATGCATTTCAGTGGAGAGTACTGATGAGAGAAGAGTGGCCCACTTGGGGGAGGCGCAAAGTGACTCTGATCTGATGTGCCTGTGTTTTCCGCAGTACTCTAGCTCTGATTTTTCACCCTTCAAAATACATTTTTATTAATTCCTACCTCCATTTTTCACTAGCAATAAAATATCTGTTTTATCAGTAGATATTGGAAAATGAAAAAAAGTTTGCAAACTTACATGATAAAAGTATAGTTCCCAAAAATTAGAGAGCTGGAGAAATGGCTTAGTGGTTAAGAGCCCTGGCTGCTCTTGCTGAGGACCCAGGTTCAGTTCTTAGTACTGACATGATGGCTATCAGCCATCTGTAACCCAGTTCCAGGGGATCCAACATCCTTTTTTGGCCTCTACAGGCTCTGCACATATGTGGTACACTTATAAACATCCAAGCAAAACACTCATATACATAAAAGATAAAAATATGGTTCACAAAAATGAAATTGACTTTATATTTCATTGGTAAAAAATTTTTAGCATTATTTTCTTCCTCAGAATGAGGCTAGCAGGTGTCTCAGTGTGCTTTTCTGGATAGATGATTCTAAATGTAATTTCATGACTTGACTTTGGTAATAGGGAAGATTTCACTTTCATTTGGGATAGAGATGAAAAAAGTTTGCTTAGGAATGTACAGTAGATAAGTTATGATGATAAAAATTCATCACAGTAACTCACAAAAAGCAGTAGCTCTCCTTCTGAAGGGTTCCAATGGGATCCCTGTTACCTGGACGTTGATGTTTGATAGTAAATTATGTGGTAAGGAATTGGCAGGCCTGTACTTGTTCACATGTGATTTAGTAGTTACTTAATAGCTCAATGTCATGAAAAGGGCAAGTAAAGGATTCACGTCTTTTCTGTCCTTTGTGAATTCCTGCTCTTCCCTTTTAGTGTGAAGTGTGTCTCATACACCCTTTAGTCCTGACACAGACAAAACCCCTGGTTTTCAGTTTTCTGGATACTTTAAATACTGGATACATTCTCATTAAAATGACATGAATAAGAATAGGAAACAGAATGACTGTCCCCACTTACTGCACACCAAAATCAATTTCAAGCCTGCAGAAGCAGGTTCCTCAAGGTCCACATCTTCAGTTGCCTTTGGGGTCATATTTGTAATATGTAGAAAAAGGCCCCAAAAGGAGGAAGAAAGGAATGGCTGTTTCTCAGACAGATGTGGCCAAGATCAGGAGCTTTGTCACATTTTCTTCCAGAAGGACCTTGTATTGCAAACATGCAAACCTTTACCTTTTAGTAATCACTAAGCATTTTAATTGCTTAATTTCATTTTCCCTGGATAGCAAATGTTATCTGTATAAAATATACATCTCTTAAATTCAGAATATTCTCTTGGGGCTGGAGAGATGGCTCAACGGTTAAGAACACTGACTGTTCTTGGAGAAGACCCAGGTTTGAATTCCAGCACCCACATGGCAGCTAACAACTGTCTGTAACCCCAGTTCTAGGGGATCTGACGCCCTCTTCTGATCTCTGCGGGCATTGCATGACACGGGTGCACATGCAGGCAATACACACATACACATAAAATAAAAATAAATAACATAAAAACAATTCACAATATTCTCTGTTCACTCTCATGGTCTTCCTGCTGTGAACAGTCCTTGCCTTGAATTAATGACCTCTTTGACAACTTTAGATGAGCACATACTGACTGCCTGTGATTCCATTGGTAATGTATGTATGCATGCATGTATGTCCTGAGGAAGAAGCGACAGTGTCATGTTGATAGTCCATTGGGTTGCTCCATCGTGTTCCTGGCGTGTGTTAATAAAAGCACACTAAATGAGGGAAATCCATTCATTTCCAACTACCTCAGCAAGTTTTAAAAAAGGACAGTATTTGGTACAGTGCTAAGGACGGGAAGGTGAAAGACGCTATTACAGGTTTTGGAAACAGCTTTGTACCTGCAGAAAACCTGTGAATGGATGTAAGTACCATAAGGAAGGAGATAAAGACTGTGGAAAGAAGAAATCCTCTGTGGTCACGTGAGATGCCAGCAGCTGTGCAGGAAACAGTCGGACTTTGGGAAACCAGCACAGGAGCCCAGCTCCTCATGGGTCTTGCAGGAGAAGGACAAGAACATTAAGTGTGGGGTTGTGGGACGATAGTCTTTATTTAACATGAACCAGCTCTTGTCATGGACAGAACCTGACTTTGTGTGATTTTAGTCACTTATTTCTGTTATGTTGAAAACAGACATTTTGACTTCTTTTATGAATATTGATTTAATTATATGTTATTTGTTCTCATGAAGTTGCTCTTAGCCAGTAAGAATTACCACGATCCTTGCAGGGTTTCTACACGTCCCAGATTCTTTTAAGGGAGTTCTTTCTTTGTTTTAGAAAGATTTTATTTTTGTATTTAAATTATATGTATATTTAGGTGTTTGTGTCTGGGTCTGTGCATGTGCTGGTAGCACCTGTGCAGACCAGAAGAGGGCATCAGATCCCCTGGAGCTGGAATTACAGGTAGTTGTGACTCACATGACATGGGTACTAGGAATCAAACTCAGGTCCTTGGCAAGTGCTCCTAACTTCTGACCCATCTCTCCAGCCCTCCAGTGGCAATTGCATTTGAGAAAATTACTGAAGATATTTCCTTAACATATTTAAAATGAGATCAGTATAGCCCTAGGAAAACAATGTGTCGAATTTTAAATGTAAACGTTGAAAATATGCCAGTTTGTTTTGGAATTAGAATTAGAAGGACCAAGGCAGGGGAGTCAGGATTTCAAATCCTGCTTTCGTAACAGTAAATACGGGAATACCTAAATGGGAGGGGGTTACAGAAAGAAATGAAAAACTTAGGATGCTGTCTACTGTAGTTTAGATATTTAAAAAGTATTGCTGCAGTGGTGGTGTGTGCCTTTAGTCCCAGCACTCAAGTGGCAGAGGTGGGCAGATCTCTGTGAGTTCAAGGCCAGCCTGGTCTACATAGTGAGTTCCAGGCCAGCTCAGGCTACAGGGAGACCCTATGTCAGAAAGACAAAAAAAAAAAAAAAGTTGAGAAGTGTGGCTCTGGAGAGGTAGCTCAGCAGTTAACGGCACTGTCTGGGGTCGGAAATGTGGCTCAGCAGTTAAGAGCACTGATTGCTCTTGCAGAGGACCTGGGTTCAATTCCTAGCACCCACATGGCAGCTAACAACCATCCATATCTCCAGTTCCAGGGGAATTCCGTGTCTTTTGAACTTTGCAGGCACTGCATGGCATGGGTGCACTTATGTACATGCAGACAATATACACTCATGCACATAATCTAAAAATAATGATTTTTTAAATGCCTTTAAAAAAAACTTGAGAAGTATCACTCTGCCTCTGCATAACGTTCTCCCATGAGAAGTGTAACCTCTGTTGTACACCAGCGTAGTACATCCAATGCATAGTCTTCTGTGAGTACACTCATATTCCCTTTTGTAAGTCACGAATCATACCTATATGAGTTTGGGACTGGAGAGTAGGCTTGGAGATTAATAGCACTGGCTGCTCTTCCAGAAGACCCAGGTTTGATTCCCAGTACCTGTGTGACCTGGTGGCTTACAGTCATCTGAAATTCCTGTTCCATGTGATCCAATGCCTTTCTCTTACCTCTGAGAATTTGCATGCATGTGGTGCACTTACATACATGCAGACAAAACACTCATACACACAAAAATAAAATTTAAAAAAATCCGAGTTTATTAGGGGATATGTCATTCTCTTAAAGATGAATAATGTATATATATAATATATGGATAATGTATAACATTAGTACGTGTGGAAGTACCTTATTTATTGATAATACAGTTCTTTCATCTTTGGTAAAATGAAGAATTGCACTTGCAAACACGTTATTTATGTGTTGGTATTTTTGCTATCCATTATGTTACTTAATTAACGTATTTTGTTCACTTTTATTTCAGGAACCCCTGTCATTCAGGGATGTGGCCGTTGATTTCTCTCCAGAGGAGAGTGAATGCCTGAATCCTGCTCAGTGGAAGTTGTACAAGGATGTGATGTTGGAGAATTACAGCAACCTTGTTTCCCTGGGTGAGCATCATCTCTTATTGAATTCTTGATTCACTGTCCACACTTCACTTCTTTTCTTTGTAGAAAAATATCCATGGGAGATTATACTTTGTATCAATGCATTTCCAATTCTTGTTCTAAAAAGTTATTCTTTCGTAATTGTTTACATGTATGCAGTACATCGATCACGTCCCTCCCACTACCTTCTCTACGTCCCCTTCCCTCTGCCACTGAAAGTCCCCATCCTACTTCCATATATTTTTTCCTTTTTGTGGCCCACTGCATTTGGTTAAGGTTGCCTATCAAATGAGAGTGGGAGCACGGGAGGGGTTTATTTACTTAAGCAAGGGCAAGTTGCACCTGGCTACCCCAGTGAGGAATATGCCTTCTCTCCTATAGCAACCATTAGCTGCCTATAGCTCCATAGGGAGGGGTGGGGTCATTATGGAAAGTCGATAGAGGTCCTCTGCAGGTAGTCATTGTTGCTTTTAGTGCATCCTTAGTTTCAGTTGATCTTCTTTCCCACCTACTGGACTCCCCACTCCTCCTGTCCCCACTTGGACCTTTCCACCCCATGTCCACCTCTACCTTCATATCATTCATGTTCTGCTGTCCCCCTCCCTTAAGGCATCCCCTCTACAATGGCCCCTCTCTACCTTTCCTGCCATCTGTGAGCAATCCACAGTGCTCTCAGAAATCTGAGAATTCAAAGCCAAGATTCACACAGAACGGGAGGGAGCATTCAGCCAGTTACCTCGCTGTGCTTTGCCTTTCATCCATTCATCTGCAAATTATATAATTTCATTTTTCTTCACATCTGAATAAAACTCCATTGTGTATATATACCATGTTTTCATTATCATCCATCATTCTTTGGACGTCAAAGCTGATTCCATTGCCTGGCTGTTGTGAACAGAGCAATAATGAACACAGATGTGCAGGTGTTTCTGTAGTGGGCTATGGAGTCATTCAGTCTATGCCCAGGAGTGATGTAACTAGCTCATGCGGTAGTTTTGGTAGCTATATTTATTGCTTTCTCAGAAACCTCGACACTGATCTCAATAATGACTGTACCAGTCCACTCTCCAGCCACCAGTGACGCTGTTCTTTCTCCACATTCTCACCAAAACTTTTCATCATCTGTTTTATTGATGGCAGCCATTCTCTTTGGGGTGAGATGGACTCTCAGAGTAGTTTGAATCTGCATTTCCCTGATGTGTAATGAAACTACATTTTCCTGATGTCTAATGAAATTGACTACTTTAAAAAATATTCATTAGCTTTTTATATATCTTCTTTTCAAATCTGTTCCTTTCATAGCCCATTATTTGATTGTGTTGATTTTGTGATGTTTATTTTTGAAGGGTTTATAGATATATTTTTTTCACAGTATTATTAGATATGTAGCTGTTAAAGATTTTCCCATGTTAGAGGCCACCTCTTCACTCAACAGTATCCTTTGCTCTACAGAAGCTTTTTAATTTCATGAGGCCAGATTTTTCATTTTTGGCTTTATTTCCTCAGTGACCAGAGTCCTGTTCAGAATAACTTACCTATTTGTTTTAATACTTTATTATTTTTATTTACATGTATGAGTGTATTGTCTGCATGTACATAAGTGTACTCATTTTGTGCAATGACCATGCAGGTCAGAAGAGGGCATCAGATGCCCAGGAACTCTAGTTACAGATGGTTGTTAGCCACCATGTAGGTGCTGGGAACTAAACCCAGGCCCTCTGCAAGAGCAGCCAGTGCTCTTAACCACAGAGCCACCTCTGCAGCCCTAGCAGTTCTTATATGTTGAAGTGTGCCCTTTACTGTTTCAGAGTTTCTGGTCTTAATGCTGAGGTGCTGGATCCATTTTGTTGTTGTTGTTTATTTTGTGCATTGTGGGGACTTTGTTTTACTCTTGCCTACATGCAGACAAGCAGTTTTCCAGCATAATTTGTTAAGAGACTGTCTTTCTTCAGTGTGAATTATTGCATCCACCTGTGTGTCTGCTTTTGTGCCGGTACATGCTGTCTTTATTGCTGTGACTCTGTGTATAACTTGAACTTGTATATGACAATTTTTGCTATGACTCCATGTGTAACTTGAACTTGTGCATGACTGTAATTGCTATAGTATTCTTTTTGGCTAGTATTGCTTTGGCTATCAAAGTTTTTTTGTGTTTTCATAATTTTTCTTTTTTTTTTTTTGTTTCTTTTAGGAATTTTGGGCTAAAGAGATGGCTCAGCGGTTAAGAGCACTGTCTGCTCTCACAGAGGACCCACTTTCGAATCCCAGCACCCACATGGGGGCTAACAACTGTCTGTAACTCCAGTTCCAGGGGATCCGACACCCTCTTCTGTCCTCCTAGGGAACTGCCTGACACAGGTGTACTTATACATGTGCAGGCAATATACTCATTCATACCCATAAACTAAAGATAAGTCAATAGAATAACAAAAAGAATGGGACTAGAATTTTGATTTAAATTGCATTTAATATGTGTATGAGCGTTTCATCTGCATGTATGTAAGTGTACCTGTTTCGTGCAGAGCGCACAGAAGCCAGATGAGCATGTCAGATTCCCTGGAACTAGAGTTATGGACAGTTGTTAGCTGCCACATGGGTGCTTGGAAGAAGAGCAAGTGTTCTTAACTGCAGAGCCATCTCTCCAGCACTAGACGGGTACTGATTTGTACATTGATTTTTGTATCGTACCACTTGGCTGAAGGTGTTTTTCAGCTCTAGCAGTGTTTTGGTGGTCTTTAGGATCTCTTATGCATAGAATGTATATTATCTGTTGGAGCCCACTGATTGACCTGAACTGACATTGAAAACCTCCGCTTTACCTAAACTCTACTGTGCCGGACACAGCAATTACCTGCAAAGAGAGATACTTTGACTTATTTCTTCACTGTTGATATACCTTTTATTTCTTTTATTACTGCAGCTAATACTTCAAGCACTATATTGAGAAGGATGAAGCCCACTTGGTCATGATGAATGATGATTTTGCATCTGTGTTCATTAGGGATAATTGGCCTATAATTTTCTTTTTTGTGTGTCTACACTTTGTTCTGTAGCAGGATAATATGACCTAACAAAATAAAATGAAATGAGATAATTTTTTAAAAAATATTTATTATTTTTTTTTATGTGTATGTGTGTATTGCCTGCATGTAAGTGTACCCGTGTTGTGCAATGCCCGCGGAAGACAGAAGAGGCTGTCAGATCCCCTGGAACTGGAGTTACAGATGATTGTTAGCTGCCATGTGGGTGCTGGGATTCGAACCCAGGTCTTCTGCATGAACAGTGTTCTAAACCACTGAGCCATCTCTCCAGTCCGCAATGAGATCATTTAAACAGATTCATAACAAATAATGGAATTGAAGTAGTAACAACAACAAAACAACAAAAATCTCCCAACTAATAAAAAGCCCAGGTTCGGATGCATTTACTAAAGATTTCTGCCAAACTTTCAAAGAGCTAACATATTTTTCAAATTATTCCATAAAATAGAGAAGGTAAGCTTTCAAAAAGTCAGATGTCTGCTTTTAAGGACAAGTTAGGGGTGGGGCTGCTGGTGTAGCATCTGTCAATCTACTTGTTATTTTAGAAATTCAGTGACATGAAGCATGGAACATACAACTTAAAGTAAATTATTTTTTTTTATTTTTTTTGGGGGGGCGGTCTTTTTGAGACAGGGTCTCCCTGTAGCCCCAGCTGTCCTGGAACTCAGTATGTAGACCAGGCTGGCCTTGAACTCACAGAGATCCACCTGCCTCTGCCTCCCAGTGCTGGGAGTAAAGGTGTGTGCCACCAACACCTGGCCTTTAAAGTAAAATATTTTATCCTTCAGCTTTAATTCTTTTGTTCTTGTAGTGAAGCTTGTGAGCTGTAAATTGTAAATTCCTCTTAAGTATTCGAATGTCTAATAGGAGAAGTTTAAATACATATTTCCAGCCCTCTTTCATTATATCTCCTCTTTCTTTATAAGTGTATTACTCCTGGTGTAGAAATGTCAGTCCAGAACACGTAGCATAATGTGTGCTTTTCCTCTTAACAGGTCTTGTTTTTTCTAAGCCATACCTGGTCACATTTCTAGAGCAAAGACAAGAGGCTTGGAATGTGAAGGGACAAGCATCAGTACCATATCCAGGTATGTGGGGTGAATGGATCAGAGGGCACAAGCGGGAGGCTGTTAAAACAGGAAGCTGGGCTTCAAAAGGCAGAATCAGAAGTTCTGGTCAATGGAAATCAGCTTTAGGATTCTCCATTTGTTTTCCTTGTTACCAAAGAACGTCTCCTGTCAGGTGTTTATCATGCTTTTAAGACATGTAGATGTCTGCATGCATTTACAGTGCCTGCCAATGTTCATCCTTTTGCACTTGAAGGCCTAGATGAAAGTGGGCTTTTGATTGCTTTGTAGACTTCGTAAAATGTATACACATTTCTGAAGACCTATTAAGCCACTGTATACAGTAGCACCACAAATAACTTTCTCTAATTTTATTTTCATGTTTATTAATTAAAATTGTGCCATCAGAGTTCTCTATAAATTTTTTAATGTGTTTCTGTAAATTGTTTTCTGCTATATCCTCAGTATCAGTTCTTTAAAGTGTATTCTTTTTGTGGCTACATAATAGCAAAATATATACACAGGTAGGGGAAGTTATTTATGATTGGATGATAGTTTTCAATAGTAATTCCTTAGGACAGTGTAGGATAATAAAATATCTGTGGTCTTTATGTCTAGTTACTGTAGAATTGTATGTTTTTATTTTCACATATTATATATTTTCATAAGTATTTTCATGCTTATTTGTGTTTATTCTTTATTGATTGCTTAATGGTTGTTTTATCCTGCTAAATGAGTATTCCTAGGAGTTAATCTCATTTCAGGAACTATTGATACATATGTTGCCTTTATAGAGAAAAATTTAAAACATTTCATCATTCAATATCCTTAAATTATTTATGTTTAACTTTGGTAAAAAGCATATAAACTTCTGTCTTAAATTAATTTTTTTGGTCTTTTTGAGACAGGGTTCGCTGTAGTCCCTGCTGGCCTGGAACTCACTGTGTAGACCAAGTTGGCCTTGAACTCACAGAGATCCACCTCTACCTCCCAAGCGCTGGGATTAAAGGTGTGCACCACCATGCCTGGCCTGGCTGAAATATTTTTGGTGTTGTTAAATTCAAATTGTTAGGCATCATACTTTAGAAATTTGTTTAGCTTTCAAAACGAAAACCCTATTCTCTTTTTTTAAAGCTTTAAAAATCCATGTTTATTTGTGTGCATTTATAATATTTAACACTAGTTAAATATTAAACACAAAAGCTTCTATAGCTTAGCATGGTGACACATTCCAGCATTTGGGAAGATGACTCAGGAATATCCCACCACACAGGAATATCCAGTTTAAGGCCACTTGAACTATTAATTACATAGTGAAACACTCTCTCAAATGCCCCTCCTCCCAAAGGTCCTCCTTTGTCCCCTAACCCTTCTCTACACAGGAAGCATCTTTTACTTGTCATTTGATTCCATTACAAAGTCCTGAGATAATCAAACTGGATCATGAGTCCTGACCAAGGACCTTCATTCAATTCAGCTCAAATATCCAGTTACAAAGACTTCTAGACCTAGTACAGTATTAATCACTCTATATTCACAGTAAAGAAGACAGTGTTCCTTTCAAAGTATCTGTCATGTTCTTGGGAGATGTCAAGTAAAGTACTCACACAGCTCTCTGCAAGCTCTCTGTTTCCACTATTACATCATGCACATATAGACTCAGACTCTAGTTATATTCACATACCTGTGCTTATGTCAAAGTCTTCTCCTAGGACATATTCCCAGGTGTATGCTCAGATAGCAGATATAGAGTCCCATCTGGAATGAGTTTTACATAAGTAATCTAACTTTCCAACACTTTTTTTTTTTTTTTTTTTTTTTTTTTTTTTTTTTTTTGTCTTTTTGAGACAGGGTCTCCCTGTAGCCCCAGCTGTCCCAGAACTTTCTATGTGGATGAGTCTGGCCTCGAACTCACAAAGATCTGCCTGCCTCTGCTTCCCAAATGCTGGGATTAAAGGCATGTGCCACTACACCCTGCTTCAAAAAATTTAATAAAAAAATTAAAAAGGAAAACCCTATTCTTATGAAAATCATTTTTATATCCATGTCATACAACATAATCACTTGAGTTTCTGTTTTACTAGTTTAGCTATTTTAGAGTTTTCATGTAGTTTTAATCAGATAATGTCTTTGTATGATGGGCATGTTTCATTGGCAACATGCTAGCTTTGAGTTATCCTTATTATGTTTAAGGATTAATTTCCTTTTTATTTTTTAACATTTTCTCTGTCTGTCTGTCTGTCTGTCTGTCTGTCTGAGATATGTTTCGGGGAGGGGGAATGTGAGAGTTGCCGGTATATGTGGAGGTCAGAGGACAACTTTGCAGCAGTCAGTTCTCTCCTTCCATTATGTGAGCCTTAGGAGTCAAACTCATGTTGTCAGGTTTGGCGTCTGGTGCCTTTATCCACTGAGCCATTTCACTGGCCTGAGGGTACTTACTTTTAGAAATTGGAATAATATCCCATTATTTCTATATTTCATTTTGTCTTAATCTTGTCAGTTCAAGTGGAAGTTTAGGTTGTTTCACATACTGTAGTGAACACATTTATGGAAAAATGGCTGTCTTCTCTTTTTACATTAAAAATATGTTTGTGAGTGAAAGTATCCATATGAAAAATTACTGTGATGTTTTCAAGGCCCGCCAGATCTACATAATGAGTTCTAGGTCAGCTAGGGGCTACAGGGAGACCCTGTCTCAAAAAGACCAAAAACAACAAAAAAAATTATAGGGATGTGATTATCTTTTAATGATACTTCAACTTTTACTCAACAGGAGCAAAAAATTATAAATTTAAAGAATGTGATAAGACCTTTGCTTGGAATTCACTTCTTATTCAACATGATAAAATTTCTCCTGGAGAAAAACTTTACAAATGTGGTGAATGTGGCAAGACCTTTAATGTTCGCTCAACACTTTATAAACACCAGAGAATTCACACTGGAGAGAAACCTTACAAATGTTTACAGTGTGGCAAAGGTTTTACCTGTTCTTCAAGCCGTAACCAACACCATAGAATTCATACTGGAGAGAAACCATTTAAATGTTCAGTATGTGGCAAAGCCTTTAATAATTCTTCAGCCCTTACTCAACACCAAAGAATTCATACTGGAGAGCGGCCATACAAGTGTGATGAATGTGGGAAAGCCTTTAATAATTGCTCAGCCCGTACTCGGCACCAAAGAATTCACACTGGAGAAAAACCCTACAGATGTGCATATTGTGGCAAGGCCTTTCATTTTCCCACATCACTTTCTCAGCACCAGAGAATTCATACTGGAGAGAAACCCTACAAATGTGAAGAATGTGGCAAGGCTTTTAACTGTTCTTCACACCTTAAACAACACCGAATTATTCATAGTGGAAAGAAACCCTATAAATGTGAAGAATGTGGCAAAGCTTTTAACTGTTCTTCAACCCTTAACCAACACCATAGAATTCATACTGGAGAGAAACGCTACATATGTGATGAATGTGGTAAAGCCTTCAACAATTGTTCAGCTTTCACTCAACACCAAAGAATTCATAGTGGAGAAAAGCCCTACAAGTGTGAGGAATGTGGTAAGGCCTTTTATAATTGCTCTGCACTTTCTCGGCACCAAAAAATTCACACCGGAGAAAAACCCTACAAATGTGCTGATTGTGGCAAGGCTTTTATTTTTCGTTCATCACTTTCTCAACATCAGAGAATTCATACTGGAGAGAAACCCTACAAATGCAAAGAATGTGGCAAGGCTTTTAACTGTTCTTCACACCTTAACCAACATGGAAGAATTCACAGTGGAGAGAAACCCTATAAGTGTGAAGAGTGTGGCCAGGCTTTCATTTGTTCTTCCTACCTGCATAAACATCAGAAAATTCATAGTATTGAAAAGCTCTATGAATGCAAAGAATGCGGCAAAACTTTTAGCTGTTCCTCATACCTTAAATATCATCAGAGATTTCATACCGGAGGGAAATCCTACACATGTGAAGAATGTGGCAAAACTTTTAGGTCTTCTTCATACCTTAGAAATCATCGGCGATTTCACACAGGAGAAAAACCCTACACTTGTAAAGAATGTGGGAAAGCCTTTGTTAATTCTTCGAGTCTTCTTGTACATCAAAGAATTCACACTGGAGAAAAACCCTACAAGTGCAAAGAATGCGGCAAGGCCTTCAGGTGCTCTTCATACTTCAAGTATCATCAGAGACTTCATACTGGAGAGAAACCTTACACATGCAAAGAATGCGGCAAAGCCTTTGCGAAATCTTCATGCCTTATTCTACACCAAAGAATTCATACTGGCGAGAAGCCCTACAAATGTGCTGAATGTGGCCAGGCATTTATCTGTTCTTCATACCTGCGGAAGCATCAGAGAATTCATACTGGTGAGAAGCCCTACAAGTGTGAAGAGTGTGGCAAAGCTTTTAGTATTTGCTCAACCTTTACACAACATCAGAGAATTCATACTGGAGAGAAACCTTATACATGCAAGGAATGTGACAAAGCCTTTAATAATCATTCAGCTCTAATTAAACACCAACGAATTCATACTGGAGAGAAACCTTACACATGCAAAGAATGTGGCAGAGCCTTTAATAATAGTTCAAGCCTTATACGACACCAGCGGATTCACACTGGAAGTGAAACCCTAGAAATTCAAGTAATGTGGTAAGGACTTTAGTAATAATTCAACTTAGTCAACTCCAAAAAATTCATACTGGCTGGAAACAGTATAAATGGGATAAAAGGCAACTAGTAAGTGTTCTGCACTTATACACTATCAGAAATTCTTGCATGAGAAAAACCCTACAAGTTCAATTAATGTTGCAAATCTGCTATTCTTTGTGTCCTAACTGATATTAGAGAATTTATAGGTTGGAGAATCCTACAAATATTAATAATGTGGCAAGGCTTTTAAATGATACTCACTCTTCATCAGTGAATTCATATTTTATTGAAACTTTACATATCTATTGACTTTGAAAGGAACCCTTTCCAATATGTGTGAACAACATAGTCATGCTGGAAATAATTATGTAAATATAAAGTGTATAGTAAGGCCTCTGCTCACATCTCAGATAATGGATGTAAGAGAATTACTGAAGGAGATTAATCCTATAAATATGTAGAATAATGTAACAAAATTGAGGTGCATATTGCTTATAAATTATGGGACAATATTTGATGTGGTAGAAGTAATCAGACATCAGAATCATGTATACAACTCATCTCAATAAGAATATGAATTTGTTTATGAAATCATACTTACTGTATTCTCACTTTTGAAAACCGAAGGCAGCACACCTTTTGATTGATTGTATCAGAAGGAAGACTGGTTCCTGACTGATGTTAGTCTATTTTTTCCAGACACCATAAAGTAGATATGAAATAGAGATTGTGTGTGTACTTTACTTCTTTTAATAAACAAATATGAGTTATGTGTTGTCATTGTTGTGTATTGGACAAAATGTTATTCTGTCACAGACATTAAAATATTGCAGCTTACTAAGGAATCTAGGCCACAGGTTTTCAGTTACATACTGTTCGGTTCAGTTGAATGACTGTCATTGTTTCCCAAATGTCAGTGTTCTTCAAATAATTTGGAGGATATTCTTCCACATGTCTTATATCTATAAGGAGTTTTATGAGCATAGTTATGCCCTTGCTTTCTGAATCCTGAATTGTATTACTATTTTTCAAATTTTACCAAATATATATACCCCTCCACCCTTGGCACCCTTTTTGGCCTACAAAGCCCACTCAGATTTTGGTATTCATTTATTGGCTAAAATATACTACCATTATTAAAATCTAAGAATAAACTCCAGGAGCTAAGAGAACTTTAGAAGCATTGTATGTATATGCTTGCTTTTATGTAACTGTGACTGGTGTGACTAATATATTCTAAAGCGGGACTTGTTTCCTTCTCTTTGGCTATTGCGCTATTGAAAGAATTCACCCCAAGAAATTAGAATTTCCCCCTAGGAATGTCCTGCTGAGAAAAGACAAATTTGAAGCCTGGGGTGCAGCTGGAGTAAGGAAGATTTAAAACTTGTCAGTTGACCTTGCAGCTCCAGGAGACTGACCTTGCAGGAGAGACTTGGAGCTGAGACAGTGGTGGACTGGGGACCATACTTTGGCCAGACTTTGAATATCTCTATCTTTCTGCCTAAACCTTTCCCTCATGTTAGGATCCCAAAGATGGACTGGCAGGTCACTGGATCTCTTTGTCCATTCCCAATATGGGAGGAAGGACACATTGAATAAATCTCCTTTTTCTGCTTTTCACTGTTGATTTGGGCTCCGATCAAAAGTCTGGCTCGGAAGGAAAGCTATGGACCTGAACACCATCAGCTGCATGATGTGATCCTTTTTCCAGAGTGGCAAGGAGTGAGGGAGAGGAAAACCAGGGAGTGTTCACACTATGTGCAGATTTCCCTGAACAAGCTACTGTTGTCATTTTATTGCACACTGAAAGTGAGAGTGGCTCTTAGAAGGAAGGAGAGTAGCCCTTATCTTTGTGAAGGGATCAAGGAAACCCCTTAGCTCACAGGCCTACCTTGGCTGGCCACCATAAGCATGGCGTGAAGAGAGACAATGGGAACGTTCCCCAAGTGAGCCACCAAAATGCTGTGCTGAGGATTACAAGGCTTCAAAGGTCATACCAAACCAGAATTTCTATAAAATCTTAAAAGAATATATACTGTGGGGCCAGGCAGGGAGCCACGTGCTTCTAACCCCAACATTTGAGAAACAGAAGGCGGATCTCAGTTTGAAACCAGCCTAGTCTACATAGCAAGTTCTAGGCCAGCCAGGTCTACATAGTGAGAGATTGCCCTTCTCCCAAAGACACTGGACAGAAATTCTCAAAATTTCATGCCTGAGGGGGAATTTGGCCTTTTATAGCAATTGAGACAAGTTGCCTGCCTTGTCTCTTAAGCAACATGTGTGGGTTTGTACCTGAATAAAGCTTAAAATGGCAGCTTACTGTCTTGAGGTAGTAACCACTATGAGACCATTTGTCATTGTCCTCCATGGTTTTGCACTGCATTACATTTTAATGATGACCACTGACATCCAGTACTTTCCCATGCCAGCTGACATCATTTTGGAATTTTCAAACATTTTCCTATGTTTAATTTAATTATATGTTTATTGCTTTTGTCATTTTCACACATTGAGAAAATTCTCTGTGCATTTTTTTTTTTTTTGGGTTTTTTTGAGACAGGGTCTCCCTGTTGCCCTAGCTGGCCTAGAATACTCTCTATGTAGACCAGGCTGGACTTGAACTCACAGAGATCCACTTGCCTCTGCCTACCAAGTGCTGGGATTAAGTCATGCACTACCATGCCTGGTTTCATTAACTCATGTTTTTAGTAAGGACTGAAAATATTTTTCTCATCATGTTTTTTTTTTTATACTTTTTAGCATTTTATGGGGTCCTGTGTGTGTGTGCACACACATGCTTGTGTGGTTATGTGGTGACAAGTGTGTGTAGGTATGCAGACACAGAGTGGTAGATGCTAGTTGTCAACTTCGGGTATCATTCCTCAGGCAAGTCTGCCTTACTTTTTGAGACAAATTCTTTCACTGGCCTTGAATTCACTAGTAGGCTGGCTGACTATTGAGCCCAAGGGAGTCAGTCTCCTTGCTCCAGTTCCCCAGTGCTAGGCTTATTTATTTATTTATTTATTTATTTATTTATTTATTTATATTTTTGGTCTTTTTTTGAGACAGGGTCTCCCTGTAGCCCCAGCTGTCCTGGAACTCGCTGTGTAGACCAGGCTGGCCTTGAACTCACAGAGATCCGCCTGCCTCTGCCTCCTGAGTGCTGGGATTAAAGGCATGTGTCACCACACCTGGCCTTAGGCTTATTTTTTTTACATTGTTCTAGAAATCATTCTCAGGTCCTTGTACTCTTGTGGCAGGCACTTTCCTGAGTGGGCCATCTTCCTCAACCCTTCTGTCAGCTATAGTAAGCTCATGTTTGATTGGGATCTTTTGTATTTTCTTCTTTTTCACATATGAAAAACTTATAAAGGACATCTTGACTTCCCAGAATTAATCCTTGGGACTTGGCCTCATCCCCAAGTACTGATCCTTTTTTGGGCTTCAATTATCAGTCACAATCTGACTCTAGGACATGTGAAAATGTTTATTCTTCTGAATTTCAGTTTTATTTGAACTATGTATGAAGGATCCTCATCTATGCTAATTCATATTTTTTGTTTCATTTAACTTTTTGTATATTTTGTCACATAATTCTAGCTTTCTATTTCACAATTTTATTCTTTTGCTTTAATGAGTTTTGGACTGTGTTGACCAATTACCCTAGAGTACAGCTTATATGAAGAAAGATTTATTTTGCTCAGTTTCAGAAGGTTCAGTCTGCGGTGGTTTGGCTCCTTGCACTGGGGCAGAGCATTGTGGTGATGGCAGAAATATGATGGAAGCAGTTGTTAAGATGATTGGATGAAACATGGCAAGAGGACAGGTGCAACATCAAAGGCATGCCATTGATCTACTTCCTCTGTCTAGGGCTGTCCTAGTTTTCTATTGCTTGATAAAACACTGACCAAAACCAACTTAGGGAGGAAAGGGTTTATTTGGCTTACAGAACAGTCTGTCATCAAGGAAAATTAAGGCATGAACTCAGAGCAGGAACCCGGAGACAGGACCTGGAGCACAGACCATGAGGAATGCTGCTTACTGATCTCTGACCAGTGCTCAGTCTGCTTTCTTATATAACACGGGACCGCCTGCATAGGGGTGGCACCACTCACAGTGGGCTGAACCCTCCCACATTACTCAGCTATCAAAATGCCACACAAATATGGCCACAGACCAGTCCAGTGGAGGAAATTGCTCAACTGAGGTTCCCTCTACCCAGGTCTGTCAGGTTGACAACAAGCTATCCAGCACAATTGACTCCTTGTCATCCTGACATACAAACACATCATTATTAAACTGCAGCCTTTCCATTTCTTGTCCCTAAAAAACAAAAAAGTACAACTTTTAAAGTCCCAGTGTTTAAAAAAATTTTTTTAAAACACTTTAAAAGTTCATAGTCTGTAAAATTTCTTAGTTGTGGGCTCCTGTAAAATCCAAAATAAGTTATATACTGTCTTATTTCAAAAAAGAATCAGGCACACTTAAATAAAGTGAAAATTCAGCATTGTAGCTCAGTGTTGACATCTGAGATTTAATCTTGATCTGGGCTCCAAAGGGCTTAGAAAGTGCCCCTTCTTTGGCTCTGCTATCCACAGCACACAACTTGTTTCAGGCTGGCTCTACTCCAAACCTGCCACTACCCTTGGTGGTTGCCCCATGGTTTTGACTTCTTCAATATGATGGGTCTTCATTGCAACTGAGGCTGCACTTTCACCAATGGCCTCTCCTGGCCTCATATGGTGCCAAGCCTCAGGTCCTCTCCATGACCTCTTCAATCCTGGGGGTTTCACCACAGCTGAGGGCACACCTTCACCAATGATGTCTCCCAATTAGCTAGTTCCTCCAAGGGACAGGGCCTGCTGCAGAGCATGGACTACTGAGGGGCTTCTGGGAGCCATCTTGGGATGGAAGCTGCGAGCCACGAGTAGCACATGTGGTGTGGGGAATGCACAGCCATGCACAGCAGCTCAAAGACAGAGTGGCCTGACTCTTGACCTGGGGTGAGATTGTTGGCCTGAGGTGTGAACAAATTCTAATGGTGACTATGGGTGTGGCATGGTCTGATATGGAGGGCTCTGAGCGTCAGTGTGGGGTTAGGCACTGGGTTCCTTTATAAGTTAATAAATATACATAAAGATATTTATATGGTTTGCTTGATAGCACAGGAGACCCAGCAGGAACTCGAGCGACAAATGACCTCTTCTGGCCCCTCACCATGCCAAATCTCAGCTGCTGTCCGTTCCCCCTTCATGCCTTCAAAACCAGTGACATGTAGGAGACTTACACATACCAAGTCTTGCTTCTATCTTGAGATGGAGCCTTGGGTCCCCTCTTGACCACAGCTTATATGTACTGACCCCGAGGAAATACTTCCCAGAAGACTTGACCTCATTGATGTTGGTCTTTAATCATAGGTGATTCTTCAGCCCCAGATGATCAGTATCTATTGTCCCAGCAAACCTGATTTTAGTTCCATTGATTCTTAATCTAAAACACCAAACAGCTCTGATAGTCTCTGCTTCCCTTGAAACACCACAAGTCAAGCCTCCGTTGGCTATGCTTCTCTTAGTATTATCTTCCAAGTTCCCACAGAGCACCATGCTAAGCTCCAAGCACTCAATGGCTTTTCCAGCCCAAAGCTAAATAATAATAATAATAATAATAATAATAATAATAATAATAAAAGACACAAAACAAAACTCTACCACAATGTTTCCTAAAACAACATAGTCAGGTCCTAATTACTTTCCATTGTAATGATAAAACA